TCATCCAATACTTGTGATAAGTCAACATCAAATTTGAGTTGACTATCATTAATGTACAACCACGTGTTATTCGACAGCCTGATGTATATTGAGAAATGACCATATTCTAATGTTTCACCATCATGCACAACGGCAGCATATAATGAATAATGATATTCAACTGGTTGATTGTTTAATACTGGATTTATATCTAATATATCATTAAATTCGATTGCCGTTGTTATTTTTGTACTCTCACATTTTTCACGATCATATTTAAATCTACATAAATGTATTAACAATATCTGTGATGTTGTCATTAAACATAATTTTGATCTAGAAGTACCGGATGTTGTGCACGAATTACACTTGTATCCAGAAAGACTTGATTCGATGAAACGAATTTTTAAATATTCGTCGATTGATTTTAGTCCATTCGATGACTCCGGAATTTCCACTGTTAATATAATTTCTGGTTCAAATGCCCGGATATGTTCATCGTCACATTTACCACACTTGATAATTTCAACGGTTTCGAAAGTGAACACATCCTGAACCGTTGTTCTTGTTTTCGATGTTGCACAGGCGGATTTAATGTGTTTTTGTTCATCTTCATCAATTATCATTAATAAAAGCCTTAAGTAATCACTGGCATCTTGTTGTTGTGGTTGAATATATATATATGGCGAGATTATTGGTGATGATGCTGTGAATTGATTTCTAACACCTCTTTCATTGTTGTACGATGCTCTTGACATAATTCTTCTTGAATTAGCAATAAAAGTATCGTCTAAATTGATTCTTTTGTCATGACCATTTTGTATTGATGCAATTAGATATTAGATTGTACTTAACCAACAATACGGTTGAGAAGCTAAACAAAAAGAAAAAAAGAGTTGTAAATTACATTGAGAATAAAACATAGTCAACTTACTTGAATGTGAATTAGTGTACGTTTTAATGAAAGTCACGAATGGTTCAGTTGCACATAGTAATTGCAGTGTTACGTTGATGTAACACGTTTCTCCCAAATTTACAATCCCTCGTGGAATTACACCTATTAGAGAAATAAAACTAAGATGTTTTTTGGTATAATACAATCACTAAACTAATAATAACGCCTAAGGCATGCTTCAAAATATCGTATAGAGAATTTGCATGAACATTTCAAATCTCACGTAGAGCAAACTTCGATCTCTCGACAATCATAGGGAAAACATGCGAGAGAGATGTAAAAAAAATGTTTTGATATGTACACATTCTCTGAAAACTCTACAGAGTGGAAGATATATTTATACAAGTATTGGTACATTTGTGATAGATTTGGTTAAAATTTTGATCTAAAAAATGGTTTTTCAACGAAATAAATTTTTCATGCAAAATTCTATTCGATTTCAAAATAATTATTATTATTATTAAATCCATGAAAAAACTATAACTGAACGGCAAACCGAAAAGCAGTGGGAAATCATGCAGCAGCATGATATTATTGTGAAAATATTCATCATGCCCTTCAGAACGCTGTGATAAACATGGAATGCTGCATCAAAACTACCTAAAGCTCAGAAAATAAAAATATGTCAGCAAGATCTGGAATAACATTAATCTGACACTGACCATCCGTATTCAAGGGANTTGGTGGTACTGTTACACTCAGAAATTTTGACGGTTGTATAATTTTAATCCGTTTTGATCCCTTCAGAGATGCTGATGTTCTGGGATTCATTACTAAAACGCTATTTTGAATTATAGGTGACTCTGATTGTGTATGATCATCTGATATTTGTTTGTCTAATGTCGAAAGTTGATTGCTACTTGTCCAAACTGGGGACGATGGTACAGGCGCCGTTGTTTGATTGTTTTGTTGACTGATTTTAATTGTACTTTTACACATGTATCCTGAAAGAAAAAAAAAAGAGTAAATCTTTAAAACATTCCCTTCAACTACATCTTTGTGCAAATAACTTGCCCTTATCACAACGTATGCTAATTGGATTTTTCAAAGATGATGTATCAGCAACATGATCTTTAATCGACTAAAAGAGGATTCATAGTATTTAACAGTAGAACAAATGAAAAAGCTAACTGACCAAACTGGCATTTAATTGCTTTTCTTTTCCCGATGATTGTGATGAATAACCCAGCAATGTTGTTGTTTGCGGAGATAATGATAATGATGGTGTTAGTTTCCAATTTCGTTGGTCTTCACTCGATTTCATTAGTCCTAAAAGATAAATACAAAACAAATACTGATTAGAACACGAAAAATGAGAACAAAATTCCTATGGTATTATCGCTGATAACCGAATCATATTTCCCTCAGATACATTATAAACGTACGAGAAGAGATGTTAGATAGACTATTATAAAAGTTTTCAGCTTCTTGGAAGAATGCTTTTGATTGTCGTTCTCTAATGTTAGTTATAAAATTTGTCGTTGCATCTATGATATCATTACCATTATTCACTAATCGCTTTACATATTTATAAGGCATTTTATTGGCTACTGCTGAATATGATGGTGGTATGACTTGTTTAATTTCTTGCTGAATCTTCGTAAACCTGGATTCAATGTCCGCCCGATTTTGAAGATTGTAATTTTGATTGATATCGTCCAAATTGCCATTCAAATCATCTAACAGTTGTTGTCTCGCTATTCCATGCAAATGTAACTGTAAATCGACATCGACATCATCGTCGTCCAGATCAAACAGGAGCGCACCACGATTTTGAATACGCATATGAGTTGTCGAGAGCTGACCATAATTGCACGAGTGAGCGAGTTTTCGAATAGCATGCTTTTTGCAGATATCTTTTTTCGGTTTTCGCGGCATGATCTGAGAAGAAAGTAAAAGAAAATTCTTCATAAAATATTCAAATGTTTTAGAACAAAGGATCGTTCTTACAAAAAGAGGCATACCTATTCATAATTAAAATTTAATTAAAGGAATATATGACAGACGAGTAGATACAGAAGAAACGAAACTAATAATAAAAATAGTTTAGAGGAAAAAACCTTTCTATGATCATCCTAGAAGAAAGACTCATCCACCGTGGTAAAAACGGATGTGGAGAAGAGAAAAAGTTGGATTCAGAAAAAAAATTTACGCAGGGAAGCCAGTATAACGGTTTTGAGACTGGTGTAGAACTGAACTGATCGCTTCTTAAGTTTCAAGAATCAGAGATCTGTGATTTCAAAGAATTATTGAATATGGCTCGCTTACTGAACGAGTTCCTTTTACTTGAGTCAGAAGATGTACTATTGATCTAAAACCCTAATCACAGGAAACTGCACAAACATTAGAAAGAAGGTCGGGACTTCAACGATTTCGTTAGTGACCAGCTTCTTTACCACCACGTGAAGAATCAATTATCAGTAAACATCCGCAAAAGGTAAAGGTACAATACTGGTACAACCCAGTCCCATGGCTTATAGCGTTCTCTCATTGGCGAATGCATTTTGTACTTATTAACTTCTTTCGCCAAAAGACGTCATGCTAAACAAATGTGCTTATTCAAATTGTTCCACGGGTGGATTTTCAGAAGTCTCGATTTTCCGTCCCTAATTCGGAGTTCTTTCTAATCTATCTTAGCTTTGAAGGACATTCTGATAACCAAAAGAACTTAAACAGAATGTTTGAGGATGGAGAGTCAGAAAATCTTTTTCAGGCATTTCAGCAAACCGACATTTCTGAGAATCCATGGTTTAACGAGGGTTTGCTAGAAACGTTTTACATAGTGTACGATTAACCAACAAATAGTTGAAAACGGCGAAGTTCGCATGGTCCACTTTTAGAAATAAAATTTTACACACATTAGACGCATTTAAAAATCGGTAGAATAATAGATAAGGCTAAAGTATAGGTTCATCGAAATTTTAAAAATACCAATGCTATTGGATAGCTCTGGGTTTTCTGAATATTTTTTTCTAAGCATATGTCATGATTCTATAGTTCGAATAGCAAAAACATACTTTTCTCCGTTCATACAAAAAAATACGTGTATCTGAATGGGAGTATTTCTATTAGAAATAACTTATATATTCAGTATTTTTGCTCTACATGAAAACTGCATCTAATTAGAACAGAAATGAAATGGAGTTGTTTTATACGGCAATATCTCCATCTCCCTCATTCTAACTGATAAATTAAAAACTTTTTTCTATTGTGCTCAGCAGACTCTCAGCTATAAGCTGATGAAAAAGATTTTTAAAAAGTTCAATAACAACATCGCAATGATCAAAATCTTACGCTCATCAATCACACTAATATATAAAAATTTGATATCGATTCAAGAAATATAATAATTGTTTATCTTCCCTATATATGCGCGGGAAAATATATAACAGAACGGGCACGTGCTTAGTGCAGAAAAATAATAGAAGATACATGCATCGATATTCTAACAAACAATCCTTATCTAAACCCTATGCTTTTGCTCGAGTTTAAGTAAAACATAAATAATAAATGAATAATTTCTTTGAAAGGTGAAAATTTTTTTTAGTAAGACTAGCAGGATTAAAGTCACCTTTTAAACATTTGTAAAGTAACAACTTTATTTATTTGAGACGTTTTTATACTCATAAAAAACAAGTATCTGATGCTCCGCTTAAAAATAGCAGTAAAGTAAAAAAGGGCCTCTTTCACCTGTTTTCCATCACATCCTCTGTCGATAGCACACACTTTCAAGTCAGGTTGTTTATACTTTTAAATCGTTAAAATATTCATCTCCTAACGTCAAAGAGCAATAAGTAAATGAATGCATGGAACTTTTTCTTACTTCGCTTTCATTCAGGCACAAAACCTGTTAGGGTGATTGATGAAGAGGAGCCTAACTTTGACATGTTTCATTCAGAGATAATAAGGAACATAGAAAGTGCAGAAAATGTTCTATACATCCTAAAACTCATTGCACATCGTTAACAAACAAACATACGAAAGCTGCCGTTACATTACTTATTAGATATACTTATAGATATACTGTCACTGTGCGTATAGAAGCGCCTAATGGTGCCCTCGAGTCATAAGTGGCGGTGGATAGCGGACGAAAACAATATTGTGAAAAATTAGTGGACCGCATCTGGGACTTAGTATCGATGCGAAATCAGCAAAACTCAAGTGCAGAGTCGGAGAAGAAATGATGATTAAAGGAGACGATGTATGTGAGTTATTACAGGACGTTTATTTTTAATGTTACTGTATTTTTCAAACTTTTCTTATAATCAATTGTCCTGCAATAATAAAATCGTAATTTTTCTTATGTAAAGAAACGCAGAAGTATACTGAACAGATACTTTGACTACAGAATATAGGGGGATACTTGGGAAAAGACCATATTCATTTGGTTTTCTTTAAAAAGGCGATGATATCTCATACATCGAGGCCATTACTGGTTACGTTTGCTTCTTCGACCAACGAACGATTGGAGCTTCATCGATATGTCTGCTCGTCGTCAATAAAGTATTTCTTTTTCATTCTGCCAGAAATGACAGAATCCTTTTAACATAAACTGCATCTAGTACCATTCGCTCAACATGCGTTGAGACAATTATGAAAAGCGTCATACTTATTTAGTGACTAAAAAGCGGTTGCAAAATTAAATT